TTACCATGTAGTGGGAAAAATGGAAAAGCTAACTCTGGGGTTTCTAATTTCTAATTATTTTTTTCTATAGGCTGGAGAACTAGGGACAGGTAAAGAAGTTTAATAAGCTCAGTTTGGTCTGGTTATGGGGCAGGAGGTTTGTTCAAGAGTAAGTTCAGGAGGCTAGAGTTGGGAGGGTACTTCAGAGATGTCAGTATGGAGACAGACATAGAAGTCCCAGGAGCTGCTGAGATACAGGAACAGTGGGCTTGTCTGCTTTCTGGGAGGCACATTTTCCCAGATAAACCTTCCTTCATCTGCACACAAGGTTTATCTTCCTTTCAGTGGTGATCATTTTTAAATGACAAAGCAGATTATATAGTGATAAATGCTCAAACAGGTCTTGTATTCAAAAGCAGAAAGGTAGCAACTGCTTTGGTCAACCTTTAAGGATTTATAGAAAGATATGTTAGACAGGAAGTGGGGTGGGGGAGCATCACTTTCTCAGTAGAGAGTGTCTTACAGTGCTGCAGGCAGGGTGGCAGTGGTGGCAGGCGGATCTGGGAGATTCTCTAGTTTGGAATAGAGTCTCTTGTGGCTAGGGGGATGGCACATTGGGGCAGCCTGCAAAGGTGGGTAAACCTGGTTTATTCTACACATGAAGGTACTGGGACAGAACTTACTTCCATAACAGTTAAGTCCCAAGTGCTCTCACACCAAGCATTTGTTTTCTCTATCCCACCTGCTACTACTGTCAATGCACCTCTTAAATCCTTGGTTTAGCATAGGTGTTTTCTGGGAAATCATTATTTCCTTGCATCTGTTCCTGTGTTAGGTCTCCCCTCTGCTCTTGCCTTTGTCATAGTACACAGCCATACTTTATTACCCTTACACTCTTACCTGGCACAGTCTATGGCTGTGGAGTAAGTTTTCTTGGCTAGGGGCAAGAATAGGAACAGCATCTCAAATAGTGGAGGTTTTATGGAGAAAAAGACTAGTACCACTTTCATATTTCTACCCTAGGAACATTGCAGGATACATTAAAAAAAAATCTGTTTAGTCAATAGTCCTAGTAAAAGTTGGATTGAATGTGGAGAGGAGAAGGTCAAAACCCAGTGTCCTGTGGCCTGGGATAGATTCTCATACATGTGTGATTTTTTAAAAAGATTTATTTATTTATCATGTATACATTGTATGCCAGAAGAGGACACCAGATCCCATTACAGATGTCTGTGAGCCACCAGGTGGTTGCTGGGAATTGAACTCAGGACCGCTGGAAGAACAATCAGTGCTATTAGCCGCTGAGCCATCTCTCCAGCTCGTGATTTTTCTTTTTAAACTCAAGATTCAAATCTCTCTTCTCTCCAGAGATCACTAGGGAGAGCTTGCCCGAGAATGGATCCAACCAAGATGAAACACAATCCAGAGACAGACATCTGAACGTTATGATTTGAACACCTGGACTTTTCAGTTACTTGAGTCAATAAAATTCATACCAGAAGGTGGCTGGAATATTGATTTTTTGTCATAGGAGCTGAAAGAGTTCTCACTGGGACTGGCAAACTAACTCAGGCACGTCTGATGCCAGTGCTCTCATGGCTTGGTTTCCTCACATGCAGTACAATGATACCAGGGTGGGCACATTTTCCTCTTCCAGAGGCAAATAAGAAACTAGCAACAGGAAGCTGGAGAGATGGCTGCTCTCCTGGAAGACCAGCACCATGGTTCCTAGCATCCACAAGGCCACTTACAACTATCTCTAACTCGAGTTCCAGGGGACTTGACGCCCTCTTCTGGCCTCCGAGGGCACTTCATGCACATGGTACATACATATGCAGCCAAAACACCCATGCACATAATAGAGGTGGGTGGGGGAAGAAAAAGCAGTGATACCTATTGCACATCGTTATGTTATCTGCTTTCTGTATTTTCTGTAGATACTATAGCTGTGGAGTGGGTATGTTTCTTTGGTAGAAAGACATTTTCCCAAATAACAGGACAGTTTAGAGCAGGTAAGTATTTCAGGCTTTGATGGTGGTTTTTTTGGCCCTTTTTTTTTTTTTTTTTTTTTTTTTTTTTTTTTTTAACTATTTCAATATTGCTATAGTGGAAAATGTCCTGAGATATTATGTGGATTCATAAGGACATCTGTGTTCTAACTAAAACTTCCTTGGACCCTGATATTTGATTTTCATGTGCCACAAGACAAGAGTCTTCTGGTTTTCTTCCTCAAGCATTCACTTTCACAGCTATACAAAAAGAGGTAGCAGTGCCTACTTGGGTAGATTCTACCTAAAGCTCTTCTATTGTGCTGTTTGTCTTGCTATAATGAAGTACACGAGGTAGGCTACTTTATAGCTAAAGAGGTTAATTTCAGCTTAGAGTTCTGTAAGTCAACCAGAGGTCAAGGGATTGTATTTAGTGATGGCCTTCCTACTAACAGGGTCCTGAGGTTTACATGTGAGATATACAACATGAATCACAGAGAGTAAGCATGTGTGCATGCATCTATTTACTCCTCTTCTTACTGAGACAGGGTCTCACTATGCAGCTCTGGTTGGCCTGGAAATCATTATGTAGACCAGGCTGGCCTTGAAGTCACAGAGATCCACCTGTCTCTACGGCCTGGTGCTGGGATCAAAGGTGTGTGTACCACATCTAGCGCCACTGTCCCATCTCTAAGTACTTCACAGGGGGGGGGTCAGCTTCATCACAGGAACCCTTGAAGGACACACTGAAACCATAGCATCTATTAACTGTGTGATCTTACCTAAGCCACACCATCTCTCTGGGTTTTCCTACTTTCCACAAAGGAGATGGGATGGTCTTAAAAGTCTCTTGAACTTTCAAAACAACAGGATCCTGGTATCTTGATCGGCAAATTCATTGAGTGTGTGTTATGTGACAGGCACTGTCTTAAAACTCTGGTTACATAGCAGTGACAGTTCTTTCTTGCAGTCAACATTATATTTAAACAAAGAGACAGATATCAAATTATATAGAATGTTAGGTACTAGTAAGTTCTATTTAGAAAATAAAAAAAAAGCAAGAACTGGAAAGTGACAGGGATGTAATTTAAAAAAAAAATTTAAAGGTTTATTTTTTAAATTTATTATGTATACAATGTTCTGCCTTCATGTGTCCTTGCAAGCCAGAAGAGCGTACCAGATCTCATTATAGATGGTTGTGAGCCACCATGTGGATACTAGGAATTGAACACAGGACCTCTGGAAGAGCAGTCAGTGCTCTTAACCTCTGAGCCATCTCTCCAGCCCCAGGGATGTAATTTTAATGGGAGTTCAAGGACAGCCTCCTAATCACTTACTTACAGAGAAATGACCAGATGGTGTGGGCCCAAGTGCATCTCAGGCAACAGCAGCTGCTAAGGGACCTCTCAGGGAGCTGCTCCCTTGCACCCAAAGGAACAGGGAGGCCACATGGCTGAGCACAGTGATCAGGGATAAAGAGGCCTCAGGGTAGACAGGTAGATAAACACAAGTCATTTGGGACCATATGGATCTTTGGATTTTATTCTAGATGTGATGGAAAGCCATTGAAAGTGACTTTTATTTTTAAACCTTTAAAAGTCTTGCTATGGGGTACATGTTATCAATGGCTTTCTGGTCTTAAGTGGTTCTACTTCTGCCTCTCAAGTAGTTGAGAGTACAGACACATGCTACTGTATATAGCTTGAGAATGACATTTCAAGAGAAATCTTTAAAAAGGCTTCTTGGGTCTGGGGACAAGATCTGTTAGCCCAGCTGCTTAAGGCTTAAGACACAAGTTCAAGGCCTGCCTGGACTATAGAGTGAGACCCTTTCTCAAAATGAAAGAAACACTAAAAGGGATGGGTATGTAGCTCAAGAACAGAGCACTTGTCCAGTGCATGGAAGTTCCTGGGTTCAGTACCTTTAGTACAAATCCTCTCTATGGGAACAACTTTAGAGGCAAGGAATGATTAGCAAGGCATTGCAATAGCTGTGACTTGAGCAAAAAGAGGAGTGCTGGGTGAGTATTAGTCAGATTCAAGATGTTTGGAAGGTAGACCAGATAGGAGCAAGAAGGAAACAAAAACGACAAATTTTCGGGGTTCGAATATTTAGGAACACAGTGATATACACAGAAAATGTTTAACCCTTAACTCACAATGCAAGAATATCTTGTTATTTTATATACTGGTATACAAATCAGAGGTGAATGTACAGATTTGGAAATTAGCTGCTCATCTTCATAAACAGGAGACAGGCTGTAGAAGGCCTGGCTTTACCTATTTACAAGGTGCTTTGTGAAGCCTCTCCTTGTGTGATCCTTTGCCTGTACAAAAAGCCAACAGGTCAGTGTGGTGCTAATGCATCTGATGAGACAGGGGCTGAGACATGGACATTTCACACCTCCACCTCAGTATTCCCACCAAACAAATCAAAACTACAAGTGAGATGACTCTGACAAAATAGCAAACCAGAGAATAATTTCAAAGCACAGACACCCCCATCCCCACCCCCGACAGGGTTTCTCTGTATAACAGCTCTGGTTGTCCTTGAACTCACTCTGTAAACCAGACTGGCCTTGAACTCACAGAGATCCACCTCCCTCTGCCTCCCATGTGCTGGAATGAAAGGTGTATGCCACCACTGCCTGGCCCAGATAACCTCTTAAAAGCGGTCAGGTTTAGAAGGTATTAGAAGCTTCTCATTAGACCCCTTTCAGCATACTTATAATGTATACCTTCATTCTTTTGAAACTTCAACTTAGACAGTAGGACATCCTATGATACATGCAGCCATTTCAACTTCTCATTTTCCTTCCAAACAATCACCTGTGCCCTGAGACAACCTAGCCCCCTTCTTCAACTCTAATTGCAAAATCAGGCAGGCAAAGAGCAAAGCGGCCGGGTCCGGGAACCTTCTGAAGAGAAGGTTCTTAAAAGCAGCACATTACCTGGATCTGCTGGCCAACTTGAGCGGAACCAGCCTATCAGAGATCTGTGATCCAGTACATGGATGAAGGACGATACGACCACATAGATACTGTCTTGCGTTTATTCACATAGAGGGGTGAGAATTGGTACAAATCACAGACATTGTTTAAATACAAATAAATAGTTCTAGTTTCTAAAGAAACAACTCTAGATAATCCTAAGTATTTTCTAGGTTCCTATTAAAAATAGAAGGCTATTGGCTTCAAGTTCTATTCCACCACAACCCTTTGAGAACCTAAGGATGAAACGGTGAATACTATACTAAGAAATCACCAGACAAATGGGAGCCAGTGTTCCCACTTTCCTGGATGGGTGGAGGAGAGTTTCTTGCATCATAGATGCACACAACTAATAAATTCAGGAAGTATCCGATATCTAAAGATAGCTAAAAAGACCAGCCTTGGGAAAATTGGTAAGAATTCCTCTGGAGCAGATCTGTGGACTCTAAAACCTCAGAGGTCAAGTCAAGTGTCTTAACCTCAGGGTGACTTGAGTTTCTACAATCCAAGTCATCATGGGGTGGCACCTGTGGTGAGTGACAGTGATTTACCCAGTGAAGAATGGTGCTGCTAATTGTACAGTCTGTCAGGTATGGCACCAAAATGATCGACACTGAGCTGAAGAAACACATACCCAAGGCTCTCTGTTTATGTATGTCTCTATACTATCATATTCAATATGTCCAAAGAGACAAAGATATCTGGGGGAAGCATGCTGTCAGAATAAGGCTCATCTTTAAGCCGTGTAGTCTTCCAAAATGACATAAAATATGTGGCTGTTATTATGGTCTTAGTGCCCAAGCACTGGCTGCTGACTCCTAGTGCTTACTGCACTGCCCTCCTTAGCTGCATAAGGTCACTCAGCCACTTCTCACAACCCCACAGAACTGTTAGAAAGTAATGCTGGAGAGTGACCAATATAGTAAACTTTAGGTTTTCCAAGAAATTTTGCTTTTCTACTTAGATTGATCATGATTTGATTCTAACTGGAACAACCTCATGCTATAAAATGGTCTCAGGTAATAAGTGTATTAAAATCCAGGTTAGTAATAACATTTGGTATTACAGAAGGCAAGGTTACTCAGACTTAAAACCATGATTGCCAAAGAATAAAAGCTGGATTTCCAAATAGATTATCTGCTGTGGTATAAAATGCTAAATTTGATTCTATACTTTGTTGACATAAACAATTTTAAGACATACACCACATTTTCCTAATTGAGATTTGGAAATAAAAAGCATAATTCTTAAACAGATTGCTACAACATTCACTCAAGGGATCAGTTGCTTTTTGCCAAGAATTCTTTTTAGTTCAACTGAAGGATTTCCACAGTAAATTCTCAAACAGTTCTAAAAATGACTGAAGATGTCTCTCACTTCCCGCCCTCATCCTTATTTTTTATGTTGAAAAGATGTGTATACATAAAAAGGTTAAAAGTTTTTGGTGGATGTTAATAAATTTAGTTTCCTGATTTAAAGAACAACTTTGTATGTTTGTTTTTCTCTCTGGCACACTGTGTTTCTGGAGTTACAAATCCAAACAAAGCAGCCAACTAGAGCAGCTCAGTGTTCAAATCACAGTTTGGACACATTCCTATTTATTCTGGATGATGCTCAGTTCCACACATAGTTCAGGGAAGACACATCCATATGAATACCAAACATGTTATGTTAGCAGCCCTAACATGTGACTGTGCTGTTGGCAGTACCATTCACATCTACAAAGTACAAAGGAGAAGGACTTCAAACATGGAGACCATTTGCTTTTGCTGCTCTGGTAATTCACCATCATCTTCGAGACTTCCAGGCTGTTCTAGAGTAAGGAGTAGTCCTTTTCTTATCTGGTGGTTTAAAGTAGGAATAAACAGGTGCTGCTGGATACTCTGCGTCAGGATTTTCTGCCATCATTTTCAGCTTCGCTTCAATGGCTTTTATCTTTGCAGTGACACTGGAAAAAGGACAGCAGAGGATCAGAATGGGGCTGGGTACATTCAGAAAACCCTTGCACCTTTTCCCTTCTCATGTTGATGTGCATTAGGGAGGCCATGACATTAAATTATGAACATAAACCAAGAAAAATAAAGTCTGAAAACCAATCATGTTTTTATAATATAAGCCCAGGCACAGTTTTGCATACTTCACATGGCCTTATACTGTTAGTCCTGAGACATAGACACCAGACGGCATCTCAGTGATTGTCAGAAAGCAGACAAAGATAGGATTGACAATGGCTTTAGAAGGTAGGTTATAGTTTTTATTTTGCAATTGTTAAATGGCTAGTGAGAGTTGAGATTTAGATACAAATTGGCTCAAAACCCCATGTTACTAACTAGTACACTAACTACCATACTTTTTCAACCACCAAGTAATATCAGAAAAAACTCTAGAAATCTTATCAAGTCTTTGTCTGTTTCTCTTTTAATTTTAATTTATGTGTATAGATGTTTTGCCTGCATATATGTCTGTGCCTGGTGCCTCCTGGAGTCTAGAAGATCCCCTAGAACTGGCTTACAAATGGGCTGTGAGCCACCATGTTGATGCTGGGAATCAAACCCAGGTCCTCTGGAAGGACAGTCAGTGTTCTTAACTTCTGAGCCATGTCTACAGCCCCAGGTTTCTTTTTATTAACAAATATCAGAGGGGCCGCTGGCAGTATAACCACTATATAAACCTGGTACATGAACTAGCTTGTTGGAGTCAATTCCTTAGAGTGAGATGCCATGCTCAAGCCTTTTTTTTTTTTTTTTTTCCCACTGTTCAAGGTTTATTTGGTGTTTTCATTGGCATGACACTTGGGTAGTTGGTTGCATCATCCATATGCAGATCTTACTTAACTTTCAAATTTCTTTTTTCAAGGCAGCCATGCTCAAGTCTTAATGTATGGGAGAGGGGCCAGGCCCTGCCCCAACCTATTATGCCAGACTATGTTTACTCCTCATGGGAGCCCTTACCTGTGAAGAGGAGTGGACTGGGGTGGGTTGGGAGGGGGGAGGTGAAGGAGGTTGGGAGGAGGTGAGGGGGGTTGGAGGAGAGGTGGGAGAGAGAACTGTGGTTGGAATGTAAAATAAAATAAAAAATAAAAAAATGGAAAAAACAAAAACAAACAAACAAAAAACCCAAATATGTTACAGTGCGCCAGATACCACCCTCAGGATTTTATGGGACAAATGCAGCCTCTTGGGCATAAACATGCCCAAGGTTCACAAGGCTAACAAACTGCAGGGCTAGGATTCCACATGTTTCTTTGCTTTTTTCTCTCCATCAGAGAGAGAGCAGCATAGCTCTGCAGACACAGAAGTGAGGGGATGCTGCATGAGCCATGAGGTGTTTAATTGTGACTGGGGTCACTGCAAACCCTGGACTAAAATGCAAAGTACCCAGGCATATTCCCCATTTTTCCATTCTTGATGCTGTCAGTGGTTTTTGTAAGGAGTGTCCATATGGTCTTCTAGAGATCCTCAAAGGGCAAACAAGGGTTGAACATTCCCATACATTTTCATGGGAAACAAACTAAAAAACTAAGTCAACAAGGGAACAGATGTGAGGAGACAGACTCTTTCCCTGCATGCAGTTGTTCAAAGATCACGCAGATCCCACAAATACATGCACTTTTTTTTTTTTTGCATCAGCAGTAGAAGTAGCCCTACATTGTAATAAAATCCTGATGTATCACTAAGATGTATTTTGTTTGGCGCTTCTTCTCCTAATGAGACAGCCAGAGCTTAATCTGTAGGAGTTACATGGAAACAACCTCCTCTACTTAGGCACAGTGGTAAATAGAAAGATGATAGCTGATATTCTCTGGATTGAAAAGGAGATGGAAAACACCAGTCTATCTGATAAACAAGCTGCAAGTACAGAGGCTGAGAAAATCAGGTTTGTTTTCTATGTAATTAATTTCAATTTCAAAATCATCTCCTCCCCTTGCAGTTTAGTGAGATGCTTTTAAGTCTCTGTGGCTCGGGGCACATCACATATAAGGAGGACATGTATCCTTCCTGTCTGGTGTTCCATCCAAACAGGTATCACAGATTTTTTTTTTTTTCCTGATGCAGGGTTTCTCTGTATTGCTTTGGAGGTTGTCCTGGAACTTGCTCTGTAGACCAGACTGGCCTTGAACTCACAGAGATCTACCTGCCTCTGCCTCCCGAGTGCTGGGATTAAAGTGCGCCACCAACGCCCGGGAAGATTTTATAATCTAACAATTGACTGAGTGTAACTGTTGATTTCTGAACCATAGGTGTTGCTTTGAAAACTTTTTTCCTCTTTCCTGAGCAGGCTTTAATATATATCTTTACTGTTTTAACCTGGCACCATTTTGAAATAGTAAGTACAAAGATGGTCTGTTAGACGCAGACACCCACAGCTAAACACTGAACTGAACTCCTGGAATCCAGTTGCAGAGAGGAAGGAGTGATGAGCAAAGGGGTCAAGACCAGGCTGAAGAAATCCATAACAGGGGTTTCTTATGAACTCCAGACTGATAGCTGGGAAAGCAGTGTAGGACTGTTCCTCCTGAAGGAGGAATTCAGTTTGGATGTCTGGACAATCTATGGGGCCACTGGTAGTGGATCAGTATTTACCCCCAGTACACAAATGGACTTTGGGAGCCCTCTCCTCATAGAGGGATACTCTTGCAGCCTAGACACAGGGGAGGGTCTAGACCCTGCTCCAAATGATATGACAGATTTTGAAGATACCTCATGGAAGGCCTCACCCTCCCTGGGGAGCAGAAAGCAGTTAGGATGGGGGATGGGTGGGGGGCAGGAGAGGAGGAGAGGGAGAGGGAACTGAGAATGACATGTAAAAGAAGCTTGTTTCTAATTTAAATAAAAACAAAAATAAAATATGGGGAAAAAAAAAATAGATAATA